TGTGTGCCAGTATAATTTATAGGGTAAATGCATGGTAGCTAACTTTCTGGGTTCTGAAAGAGGATAAACACAAACGTGGAAGATCAGCTTTTCCATCATCCAGGGATTGAGCACTTACACTAACTGAAGCTGGTTGCCAGCTACCAAGTACAAGCAAGGAACACTGCAACATGAATTACTATACAAATCCTTTACTTTTTTTTTTTTATCCTCACCCCAGGACATTTTTCCATTTTTTGTTCAGATAGAGTGGGAGGGGGGAGAGAGGAACAGAGAGAGAGAGAAACATCGATGTGAAAGGAACACATCGAGTGGCTGCCACCCGCACGACCGACCAGGGCCGGGGACAAACTGCAACCGAGGTATATGCCCTTAGCGGGAACCGAACCCGGGTCTCTCTGGACCGCAGGCTGACGCTCTTACCGCTGAGTCAAACTGGCCAGGGCAAATCTTTTACTTATTTTTTTATGCTTTCATCAACAACAATAAGGGTTTGAGAGTGAACAGGGATCTCAACACCATCATTTCACTAGTCTTCTCCACCAAGACCTTCAAGTATATTATAGGGGAGCGATAACTCGGGATTGAACAAGAGGATCTGCTTCTTTCCCAGCTCTGTAATTACATGGTGATAACCATAAGCAAGTCATTCCACCTCTGCAGATCTTGGCTTCCCTTCTGTAAGATGGGATGTTTGAACCAAATGAATGTCAGCTTTAAAATCCTGTGGTCTCATTCTCACACATTTTCAAGGCCTCCTGTAGCCAGAGCCCAAGCTATCACAGTACACGTCACCCTCTCCCCAGAAGGCTCCATCTGCTCTGGCTGAACAATCTTTAGGCTCACTCATGGTTGCTCCTCTGCTTTGCTCTTCAGCACATATGGGGTGTTAGGCTCTCCCTTCCACTTATCCTTCTTGCCATCCTTGCAGACTCAACACAAGTCTCCCTCACTATGAGAGATTTTCTCTGACCACCTCAGTCTTCCCTGACTGTACTATCCTTCTGGATAGATGCTGCCCAATGTGTCTTTCTAATGCTTCCTGAAATGGACTGAGAAGCACGTGGAGGGCAGAGCTCCAAGTCTGATACCATTTCCTTATCACCCAACATAATGCTACACATTCAGAACCTTCCTCTGCTCTTCTGTAAAAGAGATATCACCATCACCTATCTCCTAGAGTTGCTAGAAAGAATAAATGAGGTTAAATGTGAAAAATGTGCAGCACGTTGACTAGAATCAATTAGGAACTCAAATACTAATGCCTTTCCTTTCCTCTCTCTCTCTTTCTTTCTTTATATATATTTACTTCTATTGACTGGTCTTCCCACAAGGTGTTCTACTGGAAAATGTATTCATTTGGGAGATGAACATCTAGGTTATGCTAGCCGCCTGAGAGGATCTTGGGCAAGTCACAATTTCTCTACAGTTTAGATTTTTTTCAAATGAAGATAAACAGCACTTGTTCTCATCTCTTATGATCAGAGGATAAAATGAGATGATACATGAGAAAGCACTTTCTTTTGAAGAGCTACTGGCATTATTATTTTTCATAAGTTTTAGTTTCAGAAAGAAAAATCTTCAAACAACACAAGAGACAGCAAGATGTCAGTGTTAACAGGTGATTTGATGATGACTGTGAAAATTCCACTCTTGATATAGACTAGAAATGTCAAAAAGTTGTATTACTGTTCCTTGGGGTAGAAAAGCACAGATACCAAAAAGATTAGGAAGCTTTCTTTTTTGAACATAATCACCTGGGGCATTACTCATCTCCCATGCTGACATTTTCGATGTCAAACAATATCATAAATATATCTAGGGGCTTTGTGGGCTTCAGAATCTGGGTATATCCATCTGTCAGTGTTAACTGCAAACTAATAAAAAATATAGGACATTAAAATCTTTGTATTTATTGTAAATAAACTTCATTATTATTCTCTTCTGTATTAAAGTATGCCAAGGTTAGAAGTAGGGAAAGAGAAGATAAAAAATATGCTCTCTGCCCTGGCCAGTTTGGTTCAGTGGTTACAGCATCGGCCCGCAGACCAATGGGTCGCGGGTTCGATTCTGGTCAAGGGCACGTACTTCAGTTGCAGTTTGTCCTCGGCCTGGATTGGGGTCATTCAGGAGGCAACCAGTCAATGTGCCCCTCTCATGTCCATGTTTCTCTCTCCCTCCCTCCCACTCTATCTGAAGATAAAAGGGGCGGGGGTAGAAAAAAATATGCTCTCCAAAATAAAGTGGGTTTTGTATCAATAAAAGTTATCAACACAAGAAAGAACCATTATATCCGGCAAAGATTGCAAGGATTAAAATATATCCATAAAAGGACAGTTGTGTCCCAAATTGTTTTGTGAAAAAATATGAGAATCATATTTTTGAGTGATTCAAATATGAGTAATTTGAAGAGAAGCATATTAGAAGAAAAATATTTTTCTAACAACAACAAAAAAAAGGCATCAGACACTGGTGACAAAAAATTGTAGAACTATAATTTAAGGACCTGTTGTTCCTCCATTTCAGAATGTAGTCACCAGACAGGTAGGTAAGTAGCTGTGTGGTGTGGTGTGAGGGTGAGAGGGTGAGAGAGAGAAAAGGGGGGAGGGAAAGAGAAGTGTACATGCACACACTGCACAATGGGGGAGATTAAGCTCATTGCAAATTTCTTATAATATTAGTTTACAAAGTCAATTAAGGAATACCTATCTAAATCAGATCATCACTCTAACAAGAAATTATGTAAAAATGTATTTCTTATTTTTCTTTGTTAAACACCTAACCACATTTTTAAAACATTTAAGCTTTGTTAATTTGTATAAATATGCCCTTGCCATACTTTGTTATACATTTTATAAGTAACTGGAGATTTCATGCATCGCTACTTCATACATATAAATGTGAAGTTTGCCTTAAACATCTCTAAACAGAACCTTGCTTGCTATTTTTAGAAGGAATAGGATAAAGAAGAGATAAGAGGACTCTCATTACAAAGACTGACCCTCTTAAAATTAAGGCTATTCTGTTTTGAGCATCAACCTGCTAATAAAACAGCCCTGGTACCAGGGTTTAAAAAGGCCTGAGTCTGGAAATACTACAATGGTTGATTGGCTTTAAAAAATAACATGTTAGAACCAGGGAAAACAGTGATTATAAGTGGTTGGCAACATTCCAGAGCTGCTTTTTAGTACTCTTTTTGCTTCTTAGTATTTTTTTAAACTCCTTTGGCTACCAGTTCTCATCTCATACCATTTTTAGGTTTATGCCAAATAAATCAGGACACTGCTACTACAAAGTACAGAAAAGAGCCAAGCAGCATACTACCCATGCACATTCAGTCCCCCAAATCTTTCAGGCCTGCCTTGTTTGGCTACAGTAAAACACATGATAGGACCTTCCTGAAGACAGGCACAGTTTATAGCTTTCTTGGAACATATTATGGCACTTATTACTTACAATGTTCTTTCCTAAATCCTCTCAATCACTAAAAGTGAAATTTTTAAGATGTAACATTTGTACAGTCTCATACTTCAATTTTCCATTAAGAGAAAAACACAAACAGCAATCAAGTTGACAAGTGATAGCAAAAAAAAAAAATTGCTTAAACTGTAATGAACACACAATAGAAATTTCTTGACAATAAGACTGAGATAATTGTTTTGTCATTGTATTAATTTGTATAGATATGTTGTTAATAAATTATAGTTTTATCAGAGGAAAACACTCTTCTAAAATTGTTTTTAAAATAAGCCATTTAAAAAGAAGGCCATTAACTATGGCTCATTTTCTTAAAAACCCTTAGACCATTTTAATTATCTGTGAGTTCTAATATTTATACCTCTCCAAGAAATAGTTTATCATAATGAAAATACTAAAGAAATGTTTAGATAATTTTTTACTTTTTTTAGTCTAAAAATCTATAGGAAATGCATATTTCCTTAGAGATACCATTTTAAGCCATCTAAACAAAATGCAAGATTCTATTTAGCAGCATACCATTCAAATAGCAGAACATATGTAAAAAAGGAGGGCCTAGCCCTGGCCAGTTTGGCTCAGCGGTTAGAGCGTTGGCCTGTGGTCCAGAGAGACCCACGTTCAGTTCCCGCTAAGGGCACATACCTCGGTTGCAGTTTGTCCCCGGCCCTGGTTGGGTCGTGCGGGAGGCAGCCACTCGATGTGTCCCTTTCATGTCGATATTTATCTCTCTCCCTCTCTCTCCTCCCACTCTATCTGAACAAAAAAATGGAAAAATGTCCTCAGGTGAGGATAAAATTAAAAAAAAAAAAAGAAGGACTATGCTGATTTAAGTTTTTTTTATGCTCACCCGAGGACATTTTTTTTTTTTTTTTTTTGGCATTTATCCTCAGACAGAGTGGGAGGGAGAGAGGGGGAAGAGAGAGAGAGAAACATAGATGTGAGAGAGACACATCAACTGGCTGCCACCCACACAACCCCAACCAGGGCCAGGGACAAACTGCAACCGAGGTACATGCCCTTAGAGGGAACCGAACCCGGGCCTCTCTGGTCCGCGAGCTGACACTCTAACGGCTGAGCAAAACCGGCCAGGGCCTGATTTAAATTTTAAGTTGAAGTCTAGGAAAAACAGTCTATATAATACTCATAAGGCCAGTGAGTTGCATAATATTAATTCATTACTTGATAAAGTCAAATATATTCATATTTAAATAAAAATTAAATAGCACTGGATTTTAAAAATCCAACCATTCTTAATCATGGTTTGAGTCTGATAACCAAAATCAAAAATTTAATGTTGTGCAAACTACATCTCACAAACTAACCAATGCAAAGCTCTAAGCTTTAAACTTTTTGACAATGTCAATAAAATCCCCAGGAAAGGAGACTACTGCAACTCTCTTTGGAACATAGGCATTTTAAATCATGGTTAAGCAGACAGAATGTTAAGAATGGTATGGTTTTTATTTTCCATAGCAGGTTTATTGACGCTTTTTTTCTAGTAAAGTTTGAAAATCTGACACTACCTGTCCACATAGAAGGGGAAACAAAACTTGGTCAAAGTCTGTAGAACTTCCTGTGGAGAGAAAGAGAGATAATTTATACATCTAATGGGACCAATAAATCTAACATTAACCATGGTACACAATCTAGCAACTTTACCCTAAAGAAAGAGGAGACAGATGAAGAAATATGGGCTTTATCAATTACATGGGAGGAGTACCAGGCAGTCAATCATGAGAAATAATAAACATGATCAAACTTCATTAAAAATGAAAAATTAATCAAGAATCACACATGGGCAAGCAGCAGGAGCCATGCAGGAAAGCTCTGAAGGGAGGGAGGCGGTTGGGTTGCTGAGTGTTAACACCCCTCCAGGGACCATCTCCAGCCTGACCATATGGATCAGAGTGAATAACACCGAGCCACATGGGTTTGGCCTGGCAGGGCCGCTGTTGCTGGCACCGTTTTTGCCTGTTACCTAGGAACAGAGGGGGCTGGGATTAGACAACGCTTCTCAACATCAATAGGCCAAAGCACAAGCAGAACAGAAAGCCAACTTAAAGATAATTGTCCCTGAACATTGTCAACTACATTTTTTTAGAGTGTAAAACTTTATTTTCTTACTTTATAAAGAAGTTGTGATTTCTGGCATAAATTTCTTTGTAACCAAACTGTAACAATTTTATGTACTATTTTTAGTTAAATGTCATCATAATTGGACATGCTTACCTGCTTGTAATTTGTGAAAATCCAAAGCAAACTACCAGTTTAAATATATCTTTTAACAAATATGTACATAAAACCAAGCATGTTATTCAAGGGAAGTATACAAAAAGGAAACAAAAAGCTGAGCAACATTTCAAAGACTTAATCACAAAAGAGAAGGTTCCTACATTAAGAAAAGCACACTACTGTATGAGATACAATACTCAGTGGGGTGTGACTTTTCCCAATGGTTACACTTTATGTATATAGCATCTATACACATAACTAAACATATAAACAAGTAATCAATTATTACTTCCTTTGTAGAATTTTCTCTAGCTTGCCTTAATTTAACTGCAGATTTAGACAGCCCACAGTTGGTGCTTAAATTCACAGACCAATGTTATAAATTTTAAAAAAGTATTTCTTTCATGCATTTGATTTGCTTTTTAACTATTCAAAATCCCAACTTCAAGACATTTTTCAGTCATTGAGAAGCTGGTTCAAATTAAAACAAACTTGCCCACTGCAAATCCTAATCCAAGTGATAAAGTAAAGATCAGTTTACAAATGTAGTGCTTTTCTAACCAATAATAATGAATTATCAATGCTAACTGGATTGATGCTTCTCGCTCCATTTATTTTTAAAACCAGTTCTATCATTCAAGAAATAAACCACATCAATCTAATAACCCACTCAATGAAGCAGAAAGCACACTGACTTGCTCTGCCAGAGCATATCCCGCCTACATAACTCAATTGAGCATATCCTATTTTTTAATATCTTGGACTGGTACTATATACATCACAGCACTGTTAAGGCATGTCATGAAATACTAAAGAAATAGGAAACAAACAAATGAAAAAGGTGGAAAGGATATCTCAGCATATTCTAAGAGACATTGTTAATACATCAGTTAATTTCATAATGTGACAGTCAAACGTCCTTATATATTGTTTTAAACTCATATTTAAATAAATGGCAATTGCTAATAAAGATTCAGAAGAATAAGAGCAATTTCTCAGTGCATAATGTTATTATCAGACAAATATTGAAAAAGAGTCATATAAAACATTCATTTTAATGTCTGCAGATTTTATTATAAAATATACTATAAACCACATACACAAAACACACGTGACTTATATGACAAAAATAATTCCTTACACATTTCCTTTCACTTCAGGTTTCAAACACCACAGAACATCTCTTGACTTCAGTATATGCACCAAGCATGCTTTAAAACTCAGTACTAATGCTCCCTCATTGCCAAGATCAGCTACAAAGACAGTTATCCTTTACTCCTCAAAAGTTACAGGTACAGAAGTGCTTCTCTACTCTATGCTGGAGCTGAGCTGCCAAAAGGCCTCAAGATTTTTAAAAGAAAGGACCCCCATGGCTACAAGAAAGCATTGTGCTCTACAGCAGAGTCAAAGGAATCTAATATGCCCAAGTTATTACTCACTACAATATAGAAACTACTTGCCACTTTCTAATGTCAAGAGTAATAACTAACCGTGAACTTGTCTGTCAGATAATATTAGAACAAATATCAAAATACCAAATGTAGACTGAGTATAAACCACCTCCCAAGAGCTTTCCTTTTTACCCAAGAAAGCAGTGATAAGTCTAATTAAGCAATAGTGCAGGGGGAGGGGAGGAAGGCAGGGAATATAGGCAAATGTAGGCACATGTTTGTGCATTACAATATGTTTCTTCATGTTTGTGATATTACAAGAGCTTGATATTCCAATTTAAGTCAAACAAGACTGTAGTGTGCTGTCAGAGGAGAAAACAAAAATGAGCATCTACTCTGTATTAGACATATTCACACATTACCTCAATCAAAACTGAAAAATCTACTCCTTGGTTTTTAGGAAGGGAAGACAAGAAGAAAGAGAAAAAAACAAGCAATGTTTCTTGTAAATAAAAACTGCTGAAATGAACAAATTTTCTTCATACTGATGTTTTCTCTATATTTAAACATTTAACTAGTTTATCCTCTTTTCCCAAAAACACAATTACTTGAATATGAAAAGTAACACTCGCCAAAAGAGGGGACTTTAATACCCTGATTTACACATATTTTGAGCATTATATTCATAGCTGAGTGTCCTTCAGCATTACTTTACTGGGAGAGCAGTCATTAACCAGTTGTTCCAACCCCTCTTTCTCTTTAGAACCTGTGTCTTTGGCTAGGGAATTTTCTTTGCAGATGGTAATTTTCTTGTTTTCTCCCCCCTTTCTCTTGCCTACACAAGCTCTTTCAGAGGACATCAACTACAGCTACATAAATCGGATCTTCGAGATGCAGTACAGCTGATGAAATGTAAATGACCTCATTTCTAAGGCAGGGGGTGGGGAGGATTGTGCCAGCTCTCCAGATCAATTCCCAAGTTTATATTTTCACAAATCTTTTTATGTACAGTTTGATTTTTTAACATTTTAATGAGCAAAAAAGTGAATCTATAGTAGCCAGTCACCACAGTTAAAGTGCAGGGCATGAACTAGATCCCAGGAGGGAACCAGTCCACCATGTCACCACTGGCTTTAGGACATTCGCCACCTGGTTCCATGTCCCCAGGTTCCAACTCTTTTCATAATCAAAACACTGCTGACATTATAAACCCCAGACGGGTTTTCTAAAATCCCTCCCAATCAATATATCCAACACATAACTTATTGGAGACAACACTGAGCTCATTGATTAAGGTGAGTTCAGTAGCAAAGTTTTCAAAATAAATGAGACAAGAGAAACAGCATCCAACCTCTTTGTGTCACCAGACAATTTATGAAATAGGCAATTTCCAAAAGGGCTTTTCTTGCTAACAAAATATTCAATACCTCATATGGGAAGAAGTAAGAACAGAGGGGGCAGGGGGAAGGTGGATGACAGGCAGTCACACAAACCTTTCAGTGATGCATATATTAAACAGCAGATTGCACAGAGTAGTAGAAAAGCAACATCTACAAAGCTCTGCCCACAAGGAGATACTAAGCCTTAGACTATGAACCAAAATATGAAATCAACACACTTAACACTGGATTCACTTGCAGATGAAAATCAGAAATGAATTCAAGATTCATCTCCATCTTTTTTGGATTTATTTCACCCAATTTGAATTCTCACCCAGTCAGAAGGCCCATCAAGGGAATTCACTCCAAACTGGAAAAGGTAGATTGTGTTATGCTGAAACTGAACCATTTTCTTAAAAACCTGGGAAAGCTTTAAAAACGTATAATATTATTCATCATAGAATCCTATCTGGAAGCAAAACTTCTAAGACTAAATTTGATGTAGTTGACTGGGATTATCAGTAACAAGAAGGCTAAACCAATTCACCCTGAATTTGGGGTGCAGGGTAGGGAGGGTGTAAGAGATCCTGCAACAACCATCAGTTCATATGTCAACCACTGTTTTCACTGCTTCACTGAAATCCATAAACAAAAATTAGTTGTATTGGGCAGATGAAAACAACTGACAGACACAGACATACACACCCCACAAGTGAATGCCATCTGAAAGACAAAAGCACAGGCTGATTATAATGTCCACTGGGGTTACAGAATGTTGGGAGATGAGGCATGTTCTCAATAGTTCAAAAGGGGGGGGGAGGAGGAAAACATTTAAATAAAGAAAAGAGATGGCTTAAATAAATGAATGAATTTTAAAATATGTAAAGCTACAATCAGCCTCTTTGTAGCTTGCTGGAAGCTAGTATAGCAGTTGGTAATTTACCTTTGTCGAAAAAGAGTGAAGGAGAAAGAGGCGGGGAGACAGTGGGAGAACATTTCCTGAGTTTCCTACATCTAATTTATTTGTTCATTTCAAAATGTAGATGTGTGATGAAAAGATCAGTGGAGCTCAAATTCCTAAAATACTCCATTTCTATGCTTAGACATTGTTTAACAGCATGAGGGGAATGCTGACCCTCTAAGGCCTGCAATTGAGAGCAGTGCAACTGACTTGAAAGAAAAGCCTTTGATTGATGATCTTAAAACTCAAGTTGAAAGTTAAAAACAGAACACACACAAAATCCAAACATACAAAAAGCTAACAAAATTTCGACTTTAAGCCATTTCAAGTTAAAACCAGGGACTCCAAGTGAAAGCTACCAGAGGTTTAACGCTTGTGATTAAGAAGGGTAAAATAGAATGGTAAGAAGTTCTTAGAAGCTTAATTAGCACCAAGTTCAAGAATGTTGATCAGAAATTTCCTAAATATGAAAACAGAAAATATAATTTTTCTCCTTCCCTATATATGTCAAATTAAATCCAAGATCCATACTATTACTATAGTTACAACCAAACTTTTATTTCTTTTTCAGTGACAAAAGCTTTGAATAAGGGATTTTACAAAAAGGCCT